GAGGAGGGGAGCACACCGCCACACAACCTTACAATGTGTTTTCATAAAAACCCTTTTTATTCCCACCTTTCCCTTCCCTCTATTGTTACTATTTTCCATTTTGTCTCATTTTCTGGTCAGATAGTTTTAATTTGCGTTTCCAGTGTACGATTGTGTTATGTTTCTGTAGCTGCTCACACATTCCTTCTATTTAATTCATATTCTTTTTTTCTTTCCCCTTTTTTTTTTGATGTACAGTATTTTATCTTCTCTCAGGTCTCTATTAACTCTCTGGAGTGCTAAACCTGAGAGAAGAGCTGAGAGATCGCCCTTGGCATACTTAATTATAAACAAGTTGTTTGAACTTGTAACACTTGGAAAAAGAAAATTAATGTATTTGCTTTGTTATTCCCATGGAAACGTGATATTTATAATGAGCTTCTAAAAACAAGTTACACACAAAGAAGCTGATTCTTTGTAGCAGTTGCTTAATAGAAAGAAACTGGTTGGTTTGGGGGTTTTTAGTTGGTTGGTTTTTTTTTTTTAGTTTAACTTCATGACCTCTTAAAAGCTGGCATGAAGAAGGGACTTCCTGAATGCAATCAGGGCATTAAAAGTAAATAAACTGAGGGTACAACTGTCTTGTGTGTCATGCAGTGCTCATATTGTTTTTAATAGAATCATAGAATAGTTTGGGTAGGAAGGGACCTTTAAAGGTGATTAATCAAACTCCCCCTGCAATGAGCAGGAACATCTTCAACAAGATCAGGTTGCTCAGAGCCCTGTCCAACATAACCTTGAATGTTTCCAGGGATGGGTCATCTACAACACCTCTCTGGCCAACCTGTGCCAGTGTTTCACCCTCATCATAAAAAAGTTCTTCCTGTATCTAGTCTGAATCTACCCTCTTTTAGTTTAAAACCATTACCCCTTGTCCTATTGCTACAGGCCCTGTTAAAAAGTCTGTCTCATCTTTCTTATAAGCCCCCTTCAAATACTGAAAGGCTGCAATAATCTCCCCCCGGAGCCTTCTCTTCTCCAGGCTGAACAACCCCAATGCTCTCAGCCTTTACTCATAGGAGAGGTGTTCCATCCCTCTGACCATTTTTGTGGCCCTCCTCTGGACCCACTCCAACAGGTCCATGTCTTCCCTGTGCTGAGGACTCCAGAGCTGAACACAGCTGAACCGGAGCAGAGTAGAGGGCAGAATTACTTCTCTAGACCTGCTGGCCACACTTTTGATGCAGCCCAGAATATGGTTGGCTTTCTGGGCTATGAGTACACATTGTCGGCTCAAGTCCAATTTTTTATCCACCAGTATCCCCAAGTCCTTCTCTGCAGGGCTTTTTTGTGGACCTTGGGGGGGCCTGATCCTGTGGCAAAATCAAGAGCTATTTAGGTTTGTTGGGAGATATAATTTCTACCTACTCAGTCTGGTTTGTCCTCTGTGTTCTATCCATTACCATACAGATAGAAGAGAAGGTAGGAGCATGCAGTCCTGCCAGGTTACAATGATGACAGCAGCTGCTCAGAGCCCTTTGAGGCTTGCCTTTAGAGACAGGAGGGGTTGTAGCGTTGCTACTTGGTAATTTAAGACGCTACTGTACATGGCATACGTGTATCGTACATGGCATACCAAAAGTGCCAGAACAGGTGAGTTACTCAAGAGTTGTGTTCTTAGGGTTTTCCTCAAGATTTGGCGTACCTTGCAACTCTAGAATTTTTGAGTTAATTATGATGCTTTTCAAGTGGGTCCGATAATATTCTAATAGATGGGAGGGTGAAAGGCGTTATTTTTGGCATGTAGAAAAAGGTAATGAATTTAAAAATCAAAGCTGCTTTATTTAGGAAACTTCTACTTGGGATACAGTTCCAAAAATTGCTTTACTCCAAATGCACTAAAAATAAGTGTCACTCCAATTAATATTTTTTTGCTTGTAAAGAATGTCTGCTATGATGCACATTTCTTTTTCTTTTGGGTCTAGCAGCAATACTATATTGCATATATATTTATTCAGTTTGTGGTTACACCTTAAGTTGGAGTGGAAAATACTAATTTATTTTCACCATGTTAGTGTGACAGGGAAAAGACCAAATGTGAGAGGTAGGAATGGCTATGTCTCAGACCAGAAGGACATGTTCTGTGTTCCTTTGGGCACCCTTATTTGCGTATTTTTATTTTTAATACAGAAAAAAAAATTAATTCTCTTCTATTTGATCTGTGGAACTAAAAATTCTACACGTGTTAATAAAAATAAAAAGAGTCAACATGAACTTCAGTTTTTGCTGAAACTGGTCATTCCCTTTCCCATTATGATGATCTTGACTGATGATCCAAGCTAAACTGTAGCAATCCTGATTGGAGACTTCCAGCTAACCTATGGGAGGTTTAGATTGGATGTTAGGAAAAAATTTCGTCCCAGAAAGCATTGTCAGGCATTGGAATAGGCTGCCCAGGGAAGTGGTTGAGTCCCCATCCCTGGAGGTATTTAAAAGATGGGTAGACAAGGTGCTTAGGGACATAGTTTAGTGGTGGGATGGCAGGGTTAGGTTAATGGTTGGACTTGATCTTAAAGGTCTTTTCCAACCTAAATGATTCTATGAGCTATAGAAAATTACATTTGAAAGGTCTGTATGTTAGATATGGCTGTGAGTCTGTAGTGAACAAGGGCATTAGTGTGGTGTTACGCTGAAGCTTTGCAGTGATTGCCAATGCCATCTTTTTCTAAATGAGAGGCAAACCAAAATGACGTCCTGACCTCTTGAGCTAGTTAAAAGTTCTTGGATATGTTACATCAGAAGAGGGATGTTAATCCTATTAATGAGAATCCTGGACAAATTCTAAGTAGTTAATTGCAGTTTATTCTATGTGTCTTTCTAATAAATGAAATACTGGATTATATTCTTCATTTCCACTGTCATGATGTTCTTTTACAAGCTAATTCCATGAGCATATGCTTCACCTAAAGCAGATAAGTAGTTACAAACAGCAAAGTTTGGTCAAAAAACAGATAAAATTTATTTCTGGCTAAAATAGGAAGTGTGAGGTATATAGGGATTTGCTACATGTTGGGCTGTGTTGGAAAGAAGGGACACTAGTAATGAACAGTTTGTAAAGGGTTGTGTTAGTGTTGAATTTTGTTATGAATAACCAATTTCTCCTTGTTTCAAAAGCCTGGGATAAAATTTAATTTTGTGTTTGATTAGTTGAAGTAGGAGTCACTGCCTAACTGTTGGTGTCTAAAACTGAGAATATCGCTTCCCCCTTTCATTAGTGGAGGCACCCTCCAACTGAGGGGGATTTGACTTGTGAAGGTATCTGAGAGATCAGTCGATGATAGGTAGCTAGATGAATTGCTCTTCACAGTGGCTGTTTGTGACACTTGAATTAAAATTAGATTTCTATGCAGTTTTTTCTAGGCTGAGATTTATGTTGCCAGTGCACACTTTCTCTATCCTTGCATCTATCATTTATTCCTGTATAAACAGCTGTCACTGTTGGAAGGACTGGTCTGGGTTGTGTGGTGTTGGGTTTTGGGTTTTTTATTCTGATTGGCTTGAAATGCTTTCTAAATTGGCATAAAAAGAAATGCTTATGCAGCAAACAAAACTCATGTAGTAGCATGTTTCTCAGCAACATGGACTCTCAAATACTTCTTTGAGGGTTTCATAATGTAAGCAATTGAAAACATCTTCTGCTGTTAAAGATGGTACTATTTAAGGCTACATCAGCGTAAGTATCAGAACATCTTTTTGAAAATTTTTCTATTTGATCTGTTAAATTTTAGCTTAAAACGTATGGCTGAATTTTGTTGTGTAAATTCTTGTTCTAAAGATCAGGGAATCTGTAATATAATAATACAGGAAAAGGTGTGGTTTGTGTGTGAAAGAATTCATAGAAAAGTTGTGGGGTTTTTTTTTAATGGTAAGTAATCTCACGGATGCTGTGGCCTCATGCCTGAATTTTAAAATGAGGAACACTAAAAATAGTTTCATATTAGGGAAAAGAAAGGAACAACGTGTACTCCACTATATTATCTCCTGCTTAAACTGAGTATTTTAAAATGGTAGAAAACAAACTTGCGTTAATCCCCTTCTGGTTAAACACATCTCTCTAGTGAATGCTGAGTTTCTTTGTAAGAGTTTTATCAATTGGACCCTTTGGCTTGATGGGTATAAAAGATCTGCAGGATCTGTATAAACAGAGGTTTGTAAAGTGTGAATTTCTCATTCATTGGATTTTGCACTGTACACTGCTGTAGCAAAATCTTCTCCACTAAAAGTAAACCTAAGCAAGTAATTTACTAGTGTGGGCTTTCCTATTAGTGAAAACAACAGCAAGTCTTCAGCTCTGAAGTTCTGGGGGGCTTATGAGTTTATCAGACTGCCATATTGTGTTTTCCATGAACCTGTGAATGTTTTACGAAGGTGATGGGCAAAGAAGGAAAACAGGTATTGAATTTAAATGCATCACTTTAAAATTTGTCAGTCCTTAATAGAGGAGGAATTTCAAGTTTTTAAATTATTTTCAATAGCTTGCTTTACACAATAGCATTCTTAATTTACTTGTGAATATATAAATGGTGACCTATGAATAATATGTCATAACCAGTTATTCAAAGAGGAATGAAAATATTAAATAACAAAACTCATCTAAGATGCTTCAGTTCTTGTCTTTTATGCATGAAGACTTCACAAGTGATAAACCAAACGAGACTATATTTGGTTTGATGAGCTGCGGGTATTCTGACAGCAAGCCAGCCAGGTCCCTTTATTTCCTATATATTTCTGAACATTGATCAAGGGAAGTTTCTAAAGTGCTATCCTACTGATATATTTAGAAAAGAAAGTGATGTTCCTGGTATATGTTTTACCTGACACCATAAATGAGCTTCATGAGTTCTTCCTGTTCTGTTGCAGTTTTCTGTTGTTCACTGTGGTAAACTGAAACCCTGCTGCTATTCTTGGAACGCTTGTTGTGCTCTCTTGTAATTTCTTTCAATTTCTGTATGTTTCCACAGGGGAAAGTCTTCCAGAACTATCACTTTTGAGCAGTTTAAGGAAGCTCTCCAAGAACTCTCCAAGAAACGATTTAAAGACAAGAGTGATGAGGAAGCAGTTCAAGAAATATATAAACTAATCGAAGGAAAAGCCCCAATTATATCTGGAGTAACGGTATGTTACTGATCTAATGGATGGATTGTTCTAGCTGTCCTTTGTTCTGCTGCAGTGTTATATTCGCCTGCTTCCCTTTACAATCTACAAATCAAGCAGTGTGCCTCTGTGGGCATGAAGGCAACAACCGTGTGGAGCTGAGTGGGAGCTATTATGCAACAGCTGAATGTTGCGCTGCTATGTGTTCTTGTGTGGCACTGTCACTGCTGCTGCTAGGTGGTACTACGGTTCCTAGCAGCATGGTCAGAAAAATTCAAGGAGAGCTCTTGTGTGTGGTTAGAACATAGAAACATTCATGAAGAGTGGTGTATCCAAACCAAAAAGAGTAGAAGGGAATTTAGAACCTCGTGAAACAGTTCTAACATGTTCTGTGAACCGGCCTGGCTGGACAGAGGTCTACTACTGAGACTCAGGAAAAAAAAGAGAGCTTAGGAGCTCTGGAAGAAGGGGCAGGCAACCCAAGAAGAGTACAGGGATCTTGTCAGGTCATGCAGAAAGGAAATTAGAAAGGCAGAAGCCTAGCTGGAACTTAACCTGGCCACTGTTGTAAGGGATAATAAGAAAAGTTTTTATAAATATGTTAATAGCAAAAAGAGAGCCAGGGAGAACCTCCATCCTCTAGTGGATGCAAGGGGGAACATTGCCACTAAAGACGAGGAAAAGGCTTAGATACTCAATGCCTTCTTTGCCTCGGTCTTTAATGGCCCAATGAGTTATCCCCAGGGTACCCAGCCTCCCGAGCTGGAAGGACACAAGGGGTTTTTTTGCCTCAGGTTGGCAAATGTGACGCCTGTCTTCAAGAAGGGCTGGAAGGAGGATCCGAGGAACTACAGACCAGTCAGCCTGACCTCAGTACCGGGGAAGATTATGGAGAGGTTCATCTTGAGTGTGCTCACCAGGCACATGGAGGACAATCGGGGGATCAGGCCCAGCCAGCATGGATTCATGAAAGGGAGGTCTTGCGTAACCAACCAGATTTCCTTCTATGACCAGGTGACCCGCCTGGTAGATGAGGGAAAGCCTGGACTTCAGCAAAGCCTTTGACACAGTCTCCCATAGCATTCTCCTG